AAATATAAACTTAAATATGTAAAAATATTGTTTACATTTATTTAGGTGATGATGCAACTATGAATATGCTTCCATTTTCATCTCCACAGAAAGAACAGCTGCGTGATCAAATGTTAAAGCAGGACAATGATGAGATATCACCAAAATTAGACATTGTCTTAGATGGAAAGTTAGTAATTAAATTAATGAATTACTAAATTTATTCAATTAAAAAAATTTATGGATATATTTTAAAGCAGTAAAAATATAAATGTTGTTAATTTAAACAGGGTTACTGCAGACAATTTTTCTGATGTTTGGGATGAATATAATCACTCAAAAGTAGAATCGTCAAAACCCTTTATAATTACAAAGTCTATGAAGAGAGAATATATTCATAGACCTGATGGAATAATACAACAAAAGCAAGTTATTAGAGATTCTGAAGGAAATGAGGAAACTATTGTATCAAAACAAGTTGGTGACAAAATGCATACTATTATTACAAAAAGAGATAAAAGTGGAGTAGAAACAACAACAGAAAATTTTTGTGATATAAACGAATGTAAGTAATTTATACAAAGTGTTCACAAAATATGTATTCTACATATTTCTGCTGTTTTTGATGAAATGTCAAAATTGGTTTAAGGGCGGATATACACCTAAAGAGGCCTAAAAACAGATCTTCCTTGAGAACTTTTTGTTAAGAAAGTACAAACATTGTATTCGTAATTTTTTTATTAATTTAATCTTATCTTTGGCTATAATAATTAATCTTTGTATGTAAAAATATGAACGATATAGTATAGTTATAGGAGCTAGTTCCAAATACGAAATTCGCTGCAGTGGTTTACAGTGCCCATTCGTGCATAAACAAATTTTACCTAAAAGCCAAAAACAAATTTGGTTCTTAAAGTATATGAACAAATGTTGTTTCTGACGTGGCAGCTCTCTGAATAAAAAATCTGCCACGTCAAAAACTGGATAATAATGTACCTTGTAACCATGCAAAATTTGAAGTAAATCTGTTGAATAGTTTTTGTGTAATCATGGGCATCGTCTTTGAAAACCTAGTTTTGAGAAAAATGCATTTGAAGTTTGAGAAAAGGTTTAAACTATCATAAATAATAAATTTTTTATTTTACGATGAATAATCGGAAATTCTGGATCCATGAAATGAATCCTTGGAAGTACAAGCAACCTCTTCGACTAACAATTTATTCAATCTGTGTGATATTCTGTCTTCTTTTGCCGCATCTTGCGTTCGTAGCTAATCCTTATATATTCGATGTTCGTCGTCTGTAGATATGTGTGAGCATTTAGACCCACAAATATATACATCATTTATAAAAATTGCAGTAAAGATGTTATGCTTTTATTAAAAATGCAGACAGCAACATAAACTGTAATGTCAACTGTTAGAGTGCCAATGTACATTTTTGGATCTATTTTCCAAATTCAGTTATTCAAGCACTCATTATTATTTTGGTTAAAGCCATCGACACATCGTTGTAACAGTCTTTGGTCACTTAAGTTTTCGTAAATTGGACTACGTAAATTGCATTAATGAGAGTATCTTTTAGCAGAGTAGAATGGTTATATTCATACAATTTTTGTTGTGCTTTCTCCTTGGCACCATGATCTACTAAAATCTACTTGGTAACACGTGAGCATACTTCATTTCAAATGTTTGAATTTTTGATATTTTTGTGAATTTCCGTTCTAAATTTTGGGAAAACATTCTTGACACATTAAACATTGAAAATATGTAAAAAAGTCGATATTTTTGACATACCTAGGTGTACATCTCTCCTTAAAAACAAAGCTTCTTGCGAGAAGTAAAATTATTAAATTTCAGGAAAGCAAAGGGTTTAGCACGATAAGGGGGTCAAAAGTGCCCTTAAATCACATTGGACTTGCGATGGGCCATTCTATAGCTTATCGAAAGAAAACATTTGACACCAAGTAGGGTAAATTCGAAACATTAATTTTTGCATACATTTCATATACATATATGTATATGTATATACAAAAGATGTGGACTTTTTTTAAATATAGAAGCAACCATTTTCATTTTATTTAGTAACAGTATCTTAACATAACTATTATTCTCAATTGTTTTCAGATTTTGTAATAAGGTGCGCCGTAGTTAAAAAAATTAAAAACCAATTTGATGGATGTATTTTTCTCATAAAAGCAACTTTTAAAAATTTTTATATTTTCTTTATTCAGTGCGTATACTACATAATCTTAAACATTTTTACATTCGAAAGGACACTATGCGAATTAAAGAAGTGGAATAACTCAACTAATGAAAACTATCGATGTTCGTTATATTTTAAAATATCTACCGTATTTTCAACAGCGTCGTTGACGCAACGGTTAAGTATTTGACTGTAGAACCGCTGGGAACTTGTTGATCGTGGAACCTCGAGCCTCACCAAACTCTCTTCTTTTTTTTGTATTACTTACATATTTTTTTCAATTCCTAGTAGTATTTATTTAAAAACATTTTGGAAATATTTTAAGAATATTTTGACTTAAAATATACACAAAAATATTTTGGAGCACTTTTTATCGTGACTGTATTTTTTCAATTGTGATTCTGTTTAACATTTTCTACATTAAATGAATGTAAGAGTTCGGTTCTAAAATCTCTTGTCTTTAATAACTGTTGCTGGGTTGTATACTGAAATAATGAAATATTCTTAAAATGTCTTCAAAATGATCTTAACAAATACTATTCATTGATTTGTAATTAGAAATTAAAAACAAATATCACTAATGTAATAAAATAAAGTAAGTCTGGTGAGGTGCGAACGCATGACCAAAAAATTTGCAACGTTTTCACAGGCAGATGCTAAACCGCTGCATAAACAACACGTTTAGAAGTGCAGGCTACTCTTATGAGTAAAATATATCGAACAAATTGGTTTTTAATTTTTTTAATATGGCACACTTTGTCTATAATATTAGTTATATTAAGATGCTGCTACTAAGTAAATATAAAGTTAGTTCCTTCAATATCTCAAAAGAAATCCGCATTTCTTTGTGTTTTTCATTTTTAGCAACTAGGATTTGCAACGAAAAGATCGGAAAAAATTCCCTAACATACACTGCTGGACAGAATTATAAGTTTCTGTGATTAACGACTAAAACTATTCATTTTCCTTCTGTAGGATTACATAAAAATACATGGAACAAATGTATGGAAAGAAATTGACTAAAATTTAATAGAAAAGCTTACTAACAGCATGAAAACAAGAATTAATAAAAACTGATTAATAAAAATTGTTTTTTACTGTGATTTGATATTAAATAAATTGTTTTCTGTAAGTGAACTTATACTTTTTTCCAACTGGAAAACAGTATTTTTCTAAATAGTCATAAAAATTTATTATATGTGTAAATAATACAAAATTTGGTTTCATAATATTATTTTCCATGTATTTTTATGTAATCCTACAGAAGGAGAATGAATCACAGAAAACACCAAAAAATGAGGTGAACTTATAATTCTGTCCAGCAGTATATGCTTTCATATATGGAATGTGCTAGATTTTTTTCAAAATATTTGCATACCACTAAATAGGGAAAATAGTCCAAAAACTGATGATTCGTATTTACCCTGTAACTACCCCACGATCGAGCTAGAGGGTTGAAACTTAGTGTCAAATGTTTTCTTTCTATAAATTAATAGTCCATTGCAAGTCTACTTTGATTTAACGACACTTTTGACCCCCTTATCCTGTTAGACCCTTTGGACTAATATCACAAATATCGTTCATGTAAAGTTCCTTAATGAGTTGAATAAAAAATACATTTTCTACTATATAATTTTGTATGTTTAATTTGAAATTTTTATAGTTCTAATAGCTAGTACAATATGCTTATGAAATACTAAATTTCTACTTTTAAGAACAGTAGCTTATTTTTGAATATTTTTTCATATAAAAATATTAAGGGATCTTGATATAACCTTGAAAAGAGAAATGTATTGTCGTTCATGTACTGTTATGTTTTATGTGGAATATGGTGATGAAAAGCTTACGATTTTTTTATACTATTATTTAGTAAATATTTTAAATGGTACATGTTCATAGATATCCTATATACAGTGTGCCCCATGTAAAATATGTCACTTAAATATTTCTTTTAATTGTGATGATGCAGAAGGTGTTTTAGATGTAATTTGAATGGTGTCAATGGACGAATATGTTGCAAGAAATATCTTTGTTTTAAGGTCTTTTTCCTTTTTGGAGGTTTCAAGGTCACCGATGTTTTTTTGTATACAAGTATATATTTGTTCTCTTGCATATTATTACTGACATTAAATTATGTTCATGTGTAATAGTACTGAGTTAGTGCAAAAATGATTTTAAATAATAAAAACATTGTCGAATAACTTTCGAAGAATCCACGTATAAGTTATTCGACGTCAAATCGCAGAGTTGCGGTCACAGTCACTGATTTTTTCCAAACTCGCAGGATTTGTTGATACCCTTGGAAAACGAAACTGTGTAAAATTTTAGCTTTCTATTTCGACCGTTTTTTAAACTGTTTAATTTTTTTAAAGGAAATTTAGACAAATCAGCCGATATGTCAGCACTTTAACTGTAACATTTCGACTTCGTTTAAAGATAATGCTTCGATCTTAGGCTCATTTTAAAGATAAAGAAACATACTTTTTGAATATGTACATATAATTTTATTTATTATCAGCAAACATAACAACAATCGTTGCTAAATTTTAAACTGTGGATTTCACGCTGTTTCTACCTATAGAAACAACTATAGAAAGTCGCCCCAACTTTGCCATTATTGTACATACTAACATTACCTGCATTGCTCCACATTTTAAAAACTCACATGCGGTGCGCATGCGCGACAACTGTTCGCCTATCTGTAGAGTCTGCGCGGCGTCAAACGACATGCATCATGGTAAACTTTATTTTTTTTTTCAATGTTCCCGAAATGGTTCCATCTTTTTGAAAAGCTTATTTTACAGGTGAAAGTTCAAGCAATCTAATAGTACTTTTTTCAAATTGTTCTATAGGTACTTATATAGTACTTATAATATATCTATATCATGATATTTACTAAAATTATAGGTGTTTCATAGCTTTTTCAAGGAGTGTTGTGTCAAACGAGCAAGTGCAGATTGTAATGCTCTTCGAGTGTTTCGGAATGAATGGTGGCATAAATTCTAATTAATCTTTCCTTTATATTTTTTGACATTGTCAATTGTTTGTGATTAATTTCTTGCTTCAATAATATGACATGATACATAAATTTATATTACATACATTTAAATTAGCGAAACCAGACGTCCGTATGATAAACCCAATTGTCTTAACAGATTTGATATTGATCACTCCTATATGTCTGTAGTGCGGGAGTAAACGTCCTTATTTGCATTCACAAATTGCTTCCCGTTGCCTGTGGTCTCAACGAGAACTGTTGTAGTTTAAAGTCTGCTGCAGTATGCACGAGAAAAAATATACATTTATGCGCAAAAAACATTGGTGACTTTGAAAGCTTCGACCTTAAAATGAACATATTTTT